CCGCCGTAAAATCGGCAGACACACCCACCCCCTCAGCCCGCCCCTCAGCCTCTCAGAGAGCCAGCTGACACTCCCCCATGCCGCCCCGCCCCCCCCCACACACAAACACACACACACATGCACAAATACACACGAAACCCGTCACGGTCTGTCAGGTGCGGCCACTGCAAGTCCCTGGAGCCCACCTACAAGAAGCTGGCCAAGAAGTTTGAGAAGGTGGGGGGCCACCAAGCGGGGTTGGGGCACGAGATGCTGGGCAGGTGGCGGGGCAGGTGCTCGGGATGGGCGGCAGGGGCTGCGCTGGGGTTGTGTTTCGGGCGCTGCCTGGACACTCGGCCTGGACTTTGGAAACTTCCTGTGCACGTTTGATGCAGATACTTGAAGATGCGTGTGCACAGAGTGCACACACATACACCCACACACATACACACACTCACCCATTGTCGAGTCTGGTGATTACTCACACGCTCGCCCACCCACGCCACCACCCGTGCACCCACGCCACCGCCCGCTCGCCCCCCCGTCTTAACCCCAGATCGACTCCGTGGTCATTGCCAAGCTGGACGGCACCGAGAACGAGCATGCAGACATTGACGTCAAGGGATTCCCCACCATCCTGCTCTTCCCCGCGGAGGCCGGCGCCGCGCCCATCACCTTCAGCGGCGGCGACCGCAGCCTCGCGGTGGGCGGGGCCTGTTTCTCGTTCGGGCGTCGGTTTGCCGGTTATGCTTGGGTTTAGGGGTGGGGTGAGGGGTTGTGTGGAGAATGGTGATTGCGGCAGGTGCTGGGACGGCGTGGTCAGGCTTTGGGTTGTCGGGCCTGCTCGCGTCGCAGCAAGCCCGCTGGGGGCACGCCGCGCGTTTCAGGGCCGCAATTGGCCCTGCACCGGCGCGCAGCTCAACAGTCAGAGCATTCCAACTGACTGATGGGACTTGCGAGATCGGTGGCTCTGCATCCGCGAATGCCGCTGTCCAATCCAGCCCCCCTCTGGGCGCCCCCTGAGACAGAGCCAGCCCCTCTGCCTGATGGTCTACCTGTCCCCGAGCCCACCCCGCAACCTCGGAGCACAAACTAAACCAGCAAAAAGCAAGCAAAATACAGCACCCCTGACACTTCCCCCTCAACATACACATACACACACACACACACACACACACACACGCCCTCTCAGACCCTGGCCAAGTTCATCCAGAGCAACGCCAAGACGCCCTTCGAGCTGCCTGCCGGCGAGGACGAGGCCGAGGAGGACGGCCACGACCACGAGGGCCACGACCACGACCACGAGGACGACGAGGAGGACGAGGTGGAGATCGAGGAGCAGGAGGAGGGCGAGGAGGTGGAGGAGGAGGTCGAGGAGGAGGTGGAGGAGGATCAGGAGAGGGACGAGCTCTGAGGGACGCGAGCTCGGAGGGACGAGGGGGAAAGGGGAAGAGTCGGCTGCTCTCCCCCTCCCCCAGCCGCCCCTTCTGGGCAGCAGAGGGCTCTTGGGGCAGTTTGGCCCGATGTGAATGGCCCTGCGCGGCCGGCCGGCCTCTTTGGTCAGGAGTCCGTCGCATGCCACCTTGTTTTTGCTGGACCCTCTCGACCTGCATGCGGCGCCCGGGCGTGTGCGGCCGCAACTGCGCCGCCACTCCCGGACCGCCTGCGTGCCTGCTGGTGTTGGCAGAGCCCGCGCGTGCGCGAAGGGCGCAGGCCCGCACCAGGTCGCCCGCCTCTAGGCGCCTTGTTTTGGGGCTCCCGGCCCCGCCGCGCCTGTGATTATGTGCATTTGTGCTGGCTGGGTATGTGCTCGCAATGCCCTTGTGTTTGCGTGACCCTGTAAACTCCTATTGGTGCCGCACACTGGCGTCCGTTTGACTGGCAGCGCTCAGCTCAGGCGCAGGATCACATGCCAGGCCGAGCTACCTGGTCCTGCAGGCGTTGCGGACACGGTGCCAGTTTACACAGGATGTCCACAGTGGTTGCTGTCTCTAAACTTTGTGTTGATGGAGGGGCGAGTGCCACCATGGAGCGCGCAACGGGCAAAATGGGACGGTGGTTGGTGACAGAATGGACGCACACACCCTGAGGCTTTGGCACAAAAATCCACACACAGCCATCTCATCTGGAGAAACACCACTGCGTAACAATGAGATCTGCGAAGGCAGGAACAGGGCGCCCGCCAGCACGCACAGCCCGCATGCGCACAGCAGCAACGTCCTCCCCAGATGGCCGCGGCTCAGCCCGCCCCTTCCCCTGCCGCCTGCGCTGCCTCCCTCGCCCTCCGCCCCCTCCTGCGCCTCTGCCCCTCCTGCCCGCCGCCCGCCGCCGCGGCGGGCCCCCTCGCGCCGTCGCCCGCCAGGCGCAGCAGGAAGCTGCCGACCAGCTGCTCGCCGCCCGGCTGGGCGCAGGCCCAGCGCAGGAACCTGCGAGGGCCCGGCGGTTGATGAGAAGGCTTTCTCATTGGAAGCAGGATGATGATCATCACATCAGGATCAGACGCTACTTGAACATGGCGCCACGTCACCAAAACCACGCTCCCTGGCAGGACAAAGCCCCCGGGCCCATGCTCAGGTTCCTGGGCAGGAGCGCCTGCTAAATCAGGCAGCGGGACCCGGCCAGTTGCCCTCCCGTCCCAGCCCCCGACACACACACACACACACACACACACACACACGCGCGCGCGCGCGCGCACACAGCTAAGCTCACGCACCTACCTTGATCCATGACATCACATGACATGGACGTGATGTTGCAGTGACACACGCACGCATGTGCCAGCGCACACCAAATGCTCGTGCGTGCGCGCGCCCGTGAACAGTCAGCCCTTCCTCACCTGTAATCCGCAGACACAAACAGCCGCGCCTGATCCGGGTCCGCCAGCCGCCGCGTCATCTCAGAGTGCAGCGCCCCCACCTGCTCCGGCGACAGCAGCGCGCCGCCGCCGCCATCGCCGCCGCCGCCTTCACTCCCGCCGCCGCCGCCGCTGCCGCGCCGCTGCAGCGCGCCGAGCAGCGTGAGCAGTCCTTCGTAGGCTGCGCCGGTGTCGGAGACGCTTGAGAGCTCCGGGAGTTGCGGCAGGGACGAGGGCTGCTGCTGCCACTGCGACCACGGCGGCGCAGAAGCCGCCGCCGACGGCGACGCTGCGGTGGCCGCACCCGGGCCCAGCCCAGCCCCGACCCCGCCTTGATTCGGCGGCGACGATGGCGGCCGCCGCCGCGTGCTATTTGCCGCCGCGCCTGAGAACCCGGCTGACGGCGACGCGGCAGGCGGGACAGCGGTGGCGCTTGGGCCGGCGGCAGCTGCGGGGCGAGCAGGCCGGGGGGGCGTCGCTGCTGGGGCCGCGGTGGGCGCGCGGGGCGAGGCGCGGGGCGGCGCCAGGGCGGGCGGCGCGGAGGCGGGTGGTGCGGGCGGCGCGCTCTTTGCCGGCTGCCGCCGCCTGCGCCCGGGGCCCTTTGCCTGCTGCTCCTGCTGCTGCTGCTGCTGCTGCTGCTGCTGCTGCTGCTGCTGTTGCTGCTGTTGCTGCTGTTGCTGCTGTTGCTGCTGTTGCTGCTGTTGCTGCTGTTGCTGCTGTTGCTGCTGCCGCCCAGGCGGAAGCTTCTGCTGCTGCTGGGTTGAGTGGCTTCGTTGCTGCTGCCCCTGTTGTGCCGGCTCCGTCTGATGGCTTGACACGCCTTGCTGCTGCTGCACCTGCTGCTGCAGCGCCTGTCCTTGACGCTTCCGATTCACATGCTGCTGCTGCTCGTGCTGCTGCTGTTGCTGCACCCACTGAGCAGCAGATGGTACCACGAGCGGCTGCTGCGGCCACGGCTGCTGAGAAGGTGCCAGCGCCGCCTGGCCGCTGCTCGCGCTGACTCCCGCCCGGCGCCGCTTGGCTGGACGCCCCGCCTGCTGCCCCTGCGCCTCCTGCTGCGCGCCGCCACCGCCCGCAGCCGCGGCCGTGCCTGCAGCGGCCCCTTCTGAGGCTGCCAGATGCACC